GGCCTGATTTTTGTTTTCTCCTTCAACACGTAGTTAATGACATGTTCTAATTTTGCATTTCTCAAAACAATAAATGTTAATTCATTTGGGTTTTGATAAGCCACTCACGATTCTGGGACAAATTAAGGTTTTGTTTAATGTTCCCACAATCTTCATGGTACATGAATTATGTCAGGTTGGACCCATTCATTCAACTATTCAGATATTCTTTCGTTGGGTAGGTTTTTAATCTTTGAATATTCGAGAAAGCAGGAAATTTCAGCGCAGTTTGGCTTCACTGCTGCTGACAGGAGTCTAATGTTGAACAAAATGACTCGAGTTCGCCTGAGGCTGTGAACTAATAATTGGTTTGCTTTGAGGGATGATAAGTGTTGAAGTGATGGTGTCATTGCTTTTAACACAGGCCTAAGGAAAGGCAGTTTGTGGGGCAGAGGCTTCATGTCTAATCACGTTGCACCTTGAGCTGTATATTAAAAGTTAAATTGCATCAGACAGAGCCACAGAGAAAATGCCACTGAAGATAAAATGTTATTGAATTATTTTATTGCAGTGTTTTTCTATTCCTTGTGCATATATTTTCCCTCTCAAAAGGATTTCATTCAGTTATATAGCCATTTCTTGATTTTTCTTCTTTAGATTTTCATCCCCAAGCAGCCTAATCCTATCTGTACTGACAACGAAACACTAAAGTTTTGGCATAAAGTAAGAATCAGTCCAAAGTGTTGTGTCAGGTCACTGGTGTTTAGTCACAGTCTAATCAGGTCCATCAAGACTCAGGTCACCTCTACTGATTAGAAATTAGAGGCAATAACTGCCTGTAACCTTTGGAATTGTTTACTAGATTTAGCAAATGATTTTCTTACCACACTTATCACAACAAGAAAACAGGAAACATGGTCAGAGCTTCAAAGTGTAAAGGTTTATTCTCTTCTCCTTTTATTCTTTAGGGATCCATCAACATTTCAGGGCTTTAAAATGCCAATATTGTATTGCTTTGTTTTGTTTTTTTGCATCAAATTAAACATTGCACTGTTGTAGTCTAGAGGAATAGTTTCCCATTTAGAAATATGGCAGAATCGGCGCGCGTAATGCGGCCGAAAAGTGTTGTGAACTCAATTAAATGGCCAGACGAGGAAGTGTAAAACAAAAACCGTCTCTTTATTAAGAGAACTAACAATAACAAAAACCCAGACAAGACACGGTGGAAACACAAAAACTCACGGTCGGTATCGGTCCCAGGTCAGAGCCAGCAAACACATACATCCAGGGGAATCCAAAGGGCGTAGTCCGAAGGGAAAGTCCGATAAGCCGATACACATAAGCAGTCCGAGATAAGAGGGCAAGGCAGAACAGAGTAAGCCAATAAAAACAGTCCGAGTCAGAAACACAAATACCAAAAACCGAATATAGTGCTGGAAAGTCAGAGCTGGGGTCTAGAACAATCTGGCGCCTAAATAGAGGTGTAAACAGGTGCACATAATAACGAAGCAGGTGAAACTAATGTGAGTGAGGAAGAACGTAAAAAGACCGAAACTAAGGTGAAACAAAACAGGAAGTAATGTCAAAATAAAAGCCGGACATGAAGCAACGGAACCGAATCGTGACAAGTTACATTAGATAAGTTATGAAGACAATAGTGATCGAGTCCCATAAGCATGTTTGCCAAACTGCCACTAAAGTTTAAAATGCTGCTGCATGTGAGCATCTGCCTGTCAGTGTTTCTAGATTAATGCATGATCATGTGTCACTAACAGCTACCACACATCCAAGTTCCAAGCTCTTTTTACAATCAATCAAAATGATTTGCTGCAGCACAACATCAAGACTGTCTGTACTGTCACAACCAAACAGTACATCCTCTCTGCAGAGGATGTCTCTGATACTAGACTCTACACACTCATCTCTCCACTGATGGGATGTGATCCAGTAGTGACTGAGGAGAAGCCAGCAGCTCAGAGGGAATTTTTCCTGGAGAATGGCAGAGATCAGCCAGAAGAATGAACCCTAGAGAGGGATCAGATGACTAGACAGCACACACTGAACCCAGTGGGGAAAAACTGCCTGAGTCTGACTGAGCTTCCAGGCAGGATGAGATATATATATATATATGAAAATTGATGCAAAATTAACAGGAATAAAAAAATTCTCATGAACAATCAGAAGTCCACATGGGCACGTGTGTGATTTTTTTTTTTTTTAATTATCAAAGAGCTGTGAGAAGTGATGAAACATGGAGAAATTAAAGTCCCTGGCCAATTTTCTAACTATAGGTCCATTCACATATAAAAACAAAACTTTCCCTGCAGTAAACTAAAGAATAGATGTGGATTTCTTTTTTAGTTGTTAATACAAGCACATTAGCTAATTATAACTTTAAATAATCACTTAGAGCTGTTGCCAGTCTGCTTGTTTACCTTCTGACATTTCAGGAGGCAGCCTGCTATTCTGTTTGTGTGTCTGTGGCTGAACATTTTTATGTTCAGTGACACAATAGCTTTGACTTTACTTTTACTACCTCTAAGTTCTGCATTTCAATCAACACCTTGTTTTACTTGTGCCATCACAACTTGCAACCAAAACAGCTCTTTCATTTAATTAATACTGTATATTAAGATAGATGTGAAAAAAATCTGAGTCCATTCATTTAATAAATCTTACACAACACAAGATGAGGAAATGAGTAGTTTATTCTTAACGTTGGTCAGAAAACACAGACAACATGATATTTGACTTTCTGAAAGTGACAGTCATGTTTCAAAGGTTTACTGACATGTCATTAGTTTATCTTCTACCAGCACTCTGTCTATAATCTGGTAGTCCAGTGCCGCCCAGTTGAGCACATTCCCTGGAGTAAAGTTTCGTTCATCCACATACTTCTGGATCTCACATGCTGAAAGGATGTAGTCCCACATGTGAACATCAGACATCATACCAACAAAAGACTGCTTAATGTCAAACCCCCCACCATGGGAATCTTGCTCCTGTAGAGATAACAGACACATTAAGTGAACTGTAAAATATTTGCTCTGTAAATCAAGTTGTTTTTCATGTTTGCATTTACAGCATTTGTTGAAAAACCATAGAGCTTATCAATAAAACTATACCTGTCCTAAAACAATGATAACAGGGCCTCTAATGTTGGATCCAGAGCTGATGAATTTCCTAGTCAAAGGTTGTCCATCAAACCACAGCTGCACCAGTCCAGAGCCAGAGTCCCATGTGGTACAAACAGAGTGCCACATGTTTGCCATGTAGTCCAGCCATCCATATTCTGCCTTTTGATTCCTGATATGAGGCTCTACCTCTTTGTTTAAATTATCCCAGAAAATCAGGAAGTCATTGGTATGCGAGGGTGTGGCCAAAGAGAAGAGCACATGGCTTCTTTTGAGGTCTGTAAATGACCTGTAGGTGTTAGGAAGACATTATCATGCCTTATACTTTTCACAGTAAAGGACAGAGTGTGTGTTTTTAGTACATTTTGGACATTTGGTGTTACCTGTGACAGACGGTTACGAAGCTGAAATCCTGTTTTGTTGGGTTCAGCCTCACGTAAGCTTTGTTGGTTTGTTGTGGGAAGGTGAACATTTTACGTGACAGATCTGAAAAAACAGGAGGAAAAATTACCATATCATTTTCATTTGTAACTGAAGATAGATTATTGGTCATTTAGAGTAATGCATCTGACATATTTTGCCCAAATAAAAGTCAGCTGTTATTGCAAATCTCTTTCTTTCACACTTATAAAACATTTTTAAAAAACACATTTTAAAAAGTGGTGTTGCATGGCAGGTAAGTTAAATTTAAGAAGGTGACAAATTCCTATAAACAGTCTGGCATGCCACTATACTGTGACATTTCATTTGGCTTTCCTTCTGTTGAATGAAGAATATATGTTTTACCTTGAGGACTTGCAGCACATGTTGCCAGCATCACCAGCACAAGCAAAAACCTCATCTTAAAATTAAAACAATAAAATGAAATAAACACCATGGAACACTTTTGGATTTGGACACGTTGAGTTACTAACACCGTCGTGTGTGCCAAGAATTACTTTAAAATCCTACATTTTGCAGTTTACGAGTAGATCTTACCTTGAAACCAGGGGCAGGATTTTTTGCATGGCAGTAAAAAGGACTGAGTTTTATACACTCACTCCTTCCTCATTTATGCCCAGGCGTTTCCTTCATTTGTCTTTTTATTATATGAATGCCAATTTCCTGTAAGGTCAAAGTCTTTTCTGTTGAATCAACAGAATTTACACTTAATGCGCATGTTGAAATAACTGCAGGCTTTAAACACACTTATGACATCCTCCCTAAAGCTGAAGTGAAGTAGACCTACGTGCTACTGTTTGTAGCCTAGTTCTGAAATGAAGATGAACGCTTTCAATTAATAAGACATTTTCCCATTCTTTTTACATTCACATTAAGATAGTTTGGGTCTAATCTGTGCCAGTGTCAAACCAGTCATAGAACAGAAGCAGTCGCAGTGGGTGTCATTCTATTTCTGTGCAGTTGCACTTATTTGGTGTTTTCCTGGCAAACCTGTTTGCACCAAGGTGGATTGGTGCAGCTGAGAGGTACAGAGTCTCTAAGTTGTACTGACAGTGTCTTTTGACCAAAACATTCATTTTTTTTTTTAACCTGGATCACCTCCAACACATTCTTGGCTTCTGTAGAGCTTCTTTGTTACTTTATCATTGTGCAGACACTTTTTCCATGTGTGGGACATGTTGTTGGTTAATACACACCTGACATCTTTTGAAAGGACGGGAATTAAAAGCACAAAGCTTTCAACAGTTACTGTCAGAATCGGCGCGCGTAAAACGGCCGAAAAGTATTTAGGTGAACTCAATTAAATGGCCAGACGAGGAAGTGTAAAACAAAAACCGTCTCTTTATTAAGAGAACTAACAATAACAAAAACCCATACAAGACACGGTGGAAACACAAAAACCCACGGTCAGTATCGGTCCCAGGTCAGAGCCAGCAAACACATACATCCAGGGGAATCCAAAGGGCGTAGTCCGAACGGAAAGTCCGATAAGCCGATACACATAAGCAGTCCGAGATAAGAGGGCAAGGCAGAACAGAGTAA